CAGCTATGGGTAAATAGCAGAACTGACTGGGTGCTATAGCATTGGATTGCAACTGATCTACCGCGGAAAGAAATGGTTACCTACTGAAGGGAAAAAAAATATGCCTCGCCAGTCATGTATCAAAAGATACATGATCGTCTAAGCGTGTATCACGCATGGCACATAACTGATTGATATTTGGTAATATATGGCATAATGAGCATATTTTCCGAGAGAATTTGAATGAAAGAAAATTGGTTGTTTTATCTATGCATTTATTTATTGTTATTTTCTTTTAATTATTTACTTTTTTCAGCGATTATGTAATGGACATGGACTCTGTGAAAATAACAGATGTAGATGTGAAGGTGAATATGCTGGCCCAACTTGTGAACAATGTCCAGTAAGTTCAATTAATATTTCTACTTATTATGAATAATCAACTGTTACAGAATGTGTAAGTTGGCCCAGAATGGCGAACTGTTGGTTAGAACTCTGACGACCTGAACTGAAGGGAATTGATTTGAGTCGTGGAATTCTCTCGGTGATAATTTTCTTTTGGTTATGGCCTTTAGATTTAAGACCAAACAGGCACGAAGAGATTGAGACGTCTGTAAGCATCAGAAAGTTGAACAAAATTTTTACACCCGTATATCTCCCTTCTCCGTTCCCCCGAGAAACGATGCTACAACTACAGTCCTTCCTCTAATAAAACTATATAAAGAAATAGATCTATCTATCTATCTATCTATCGATCTATCTATCTATCTATCTAAGACTCTTCATTATCTATCTATCTATCTATCTATCTATCTATAATATATCTTTGTCTATAAAAGGCAGGAAGTGTGTGTGTGTGTGTGTGTGTGTGTGTGTGTGTGTGTGTGTTAAACGAATGCACGGCCACAATTTTCGACGGATTTGCACCAAAATTTACATGCACATGCTCCAAGTTAGCGGGAAGGCCAAGACCGACTTTGCATTTCGCAACTGCCATCGATAGTCGAAATAATCGATTTTTTCAAACTCCTACAGCAGTTTCATGTAGTTTGCGGCCATTTTCTACTGGCCAGAGTGAGAGCCAATAGCTGGCTGCCACAACTAAGCAGGGAGATTCTATTGGCCAGCCTGAGAGCCAACAGCTGACTGACACAAATGTTAACTAGCAATCTAGCATGAAAAAAAAATCGATGGCTGCATTCGTCGCAAGTGGGAAAAATTTAAATCTGCATGGCACTTTTACTCCAATTGGCTCATCTGCTTGTTTAAATTCAACGTTGATTCTGATTCCGCAGAATTGGGTTGGTGAAAAAGCATTTACATTAACATTTTTTTCATTCGGTTTTCCAGTTACGAGTCCTTTTTATAGTTGATCGTTTTGTGTTCATTTTGTTTAGTTCTTTTTCGTAACAGATTTAATGTTTAGTATAGATCTTAGAAAAATTTTGCAGTGAGATAGGCAAGAAGTAAGGGCATGAAGCAACATCAGCACGGCAAAGGGCACCCTTTAAAGGCAAGGAAGGGCAAGAATATTTTAAGTCAAGTGATAAAGATTGCTGTATGAGTCGTACGATTTTTGAATCACGCACGGGCAACGCCGAGCCATGATGATGCTAGTATATATATATATATATATATATATATATATATATATATATATATATATATATATATAAAAAGGTAAAACACAATACGAAAACTGTAAAATAACTCACTCAGAAGGAAAATCCTAGATTTCCGCCATTGAATATTATGCAAAGATTAATCTACACCCAGGCTTTTTCACTATTTCACCTTTCCTAACACAATTACTACTGTCCCAAACAAACGTACACAATTGTATCAAGAAATCAAAAGAAAATCGTTGAATCCGTCAACACAATATTTCTATACATGACAGTACTTGACGTATTTTTCGTTTGATAATATGAATGCAATAGCGTTTTCTAAATTCTTCCAGGAGCCAAGGACATTTTGTTTTGTTATTATTATATATATACACATAAGACAAAAATCCCAAGAAAGTAAATTGATCTCAAGGTCACCCACGGTAAATTTGTACCTTGGTTCATAGAACATTTCACCATTCATGGCAAATGTTCTATTGTCATATGTTTGGATATCTAATAACAAAACTGAGGGAAACAAAAAGAATTTAAATGAAATCGACGAGATAATATAAAATTTTTAAATTTGAAAAATTTTTAAATTAAAAAAGAAAAAAGTATTGAAAATAAACATTCCCAGCATCCCCCGTTCTTGCGCATGTGTAGTCAACATAACAAATTAAGTCCGATGAAGTCCTAAATGACGAAACGTGTCACACGAAAAACTTTGTCACACCCCAATATTGTTTTTATATATAAAAATTATATATCATTTTTTATATATATATATATTTTGTTTTATATATAATTTGCATCCCCATATATATGCATTGTATTTATATATATATATATGTATATATATTTATATATATATATATATTTTATATATATTTATATAAAATATATATATATATATATATATATTTATATATATATATATATATATATATATATTTATATGCATATATATTTATATATATATATATATATTTATATATATTTATATATTATATATATATATATATTTATATATATATATATATATATATATTTATATATATATATATTTATATATTTATATATTTATATATATATTTATATATATATTTATATACATATACTTATATTACACACACATATATTTATATATACATATTTATATATACATTTACATATATATATTTATATATATATTATATATATATATATATATATATATATTTATATATATATATATATATATATATTTATATATATATATATATATATATATATATATATATATATATATATATATATATATATATTATATTTATATATATATTATATATATATATTTATATATATATATATATATATATATCGCCTCAAGACACTTGATGTAGACCTTTCAGTTGGGTCTGAGACACTCACCAACAAATTCGGGAGCTCTTTTCTTATCAGAACGATCCGAGTGAGTTTTCCGAGCTCTCTCACACCTTTTAAGTTTTTCCGAATTTTTTGCACTGTCATCAGATTGGCAACCAAATACTCTGAAATGTTCGTATTGACGCTTCCGGTACGAATGCCAAGTAGTACAGCATGCCATTTCTGGCGAAGTAAATTGCATCATAAAACTGTTTCTCTCACAGACGGTGCTCAACTAACCCTACTATACTGTACAGTCGACAAAATCAAAAACAAACAACTCGCATGCGCGGAATTGAAAATTAAAAATAAAATGGCGACCAATTTACCCATCGGAGCCTGTATTGTTTACTCTTTTTTTTTTTACAGCGGAATATATTCTTTATAAGGTCCGAGGGTTACTTGAGGTTGGAGTTACATTTGGAGGCCATTTATGCGTACAGGAGTGGAAGATAATATTTAACCTTAGCCTTGAACAGGTTAAGATTGAAGCGATCAAGGAAATATCCTGTTGGGTTACGGTTCCACAGGGCAGTAGTTCGCAGGAAGAAGCTGCTCGAGTGGAACTTAATTCTTACCGGCGGGGTACAGAAGGAATGTTGGTGGTTTGTTACTATGTAAGTGGCACGGCGTGTTCTTACTGAAAAGTTTTTTTCTCGGTGGGACAAGGAATTATAGTTCTTCTGAGCACTTTCAGAGCAATGAGAGTCTTGTCGCATACTATCTGCCTGTTGGGGAGAGGTTGATAGATGGATTATAGTTTGTCACCAACAAGGGCTTTGAGACGCTTTTGAACTCATCTGCGCTGGAGAGTGTGGGCTCGACAGCTCTTGTCCAAATATGAAAGTAATACTCTATTTTGGGCCCGATCTGAGGAAAATAGGAGGGGTCAAATAATTACTGGATGGGTACAGGGTGGGGGCGACCATTTTACCTGCATCATTAGCAATGTATCGTATGTACGAGTTCCACCTGCGGTCGTGCGTGAGTTTGAGGCCCAACAGTCTTTCAAGGCAGGATGCATTCCCAAGAGGACCTCCGTTCATCCTAATTGTTGGTAGTTCGGTGTCAGATCAGCAATGATGGAATGTAACTAGCTTGGTCTTCGAGGCATTAAATGTAACCAGCCAGTTTTTACCCCATTGAGTAGTTTCCGCAAGAGCGGAAGAAAGATTAGTCGCCAATCTCTGACCAACGGGAGTTTTAGCTCTGCGCCCATATAATGATTCTCCAAGTGTAGCTCAGATGTGGTATGAGGCACCCAGTGAGGATCGAACTCACTACTCAGTTGTAATTATTTTAGCAAGACAAGCTTGCTAACCATTACACCACCTCGAGGTGCCCTTGATGCGCCCGTATATAGTCGTATCATTGGCCTAGATTTTTACAAATGATCTGACTGTATCCTTAGGTAGATCATTTATGTAGCTCAAAAAGAGAGTTGGTCCGAGGAGTGACACCCAGGTAGAACCTTTCGTTGACCCCTACGGCTCCAGAAGATTGGTCATTGATAGCTACCTTCAGAGACATAGCTGTTAGGAAGGAATTTATGATCGAGAATTCCCTTTCAGTAATTCCATAACTGGAAAGCTTTTGTAGTAAGCCTTTGTGCCAAACCGTGTCCAAGGCCTTTGAGATATCGGATGTTATGGATCTCGAGGTGTGGTTATCGTAAGAGGCTTACTGACTCTGTGTGTGATGGGAGTTAGGACGTCAGCAGTGGCTGGGGCCGATCAAAAACTCATATTGCTTGTCGCTGTAGAGATTTTCCTTTTCTAGGTACTTGACAACCTTTTAATTAATTACGGCCTCAAAGAGCTTGATGATGATACTGAGGAGAGTGCTAGGTCTGTATTGGGAGGGTAAAATCGGGTAAACGCTTGACAAAGGTTTGGGAAGACTTTCTGCTTCAAGTAGCAGTTGATTAACTTTGCTAGTATTGGGGATAATTCCGGTTGATGTTGTTAAAAGACAACCACCGGACTTTTGCTCTATGTCAGTCTTCTCATGCGAAGTGGTGCTGAAAATTTTTGGGCCAAACTGACTTGCGCAAATCAGAGCAAACATCTTTTACATTTTTTCTTCTCATTTCTTCTTAGTATCACTCAAATAAATTTATTCCCCCATCTTTCTGTCTCAGTCAATTCATTTCTCTCTCTGTCTCTGTCTCTGTCTCTCTCGCTCTAAATGTAAAATTCCCAGCAACCGATATTTTTCTAAAATGAAAATAAAAATACTCAGGCTGATCAGAAAATTAAATTTCGGTATTAAATGCCCCATAAGAAGTTTGTATGCCGTTAAAGAACCAAAAATCATTATCCCTGTCGGCCCTTTCATATCTATCTATCTATCTATCTATCTATCTATCTATCTATCTATCTGTTTCAGTCTATAAAACTCTCCCTCTCTCTCTCTCTTTCAATAGGCCACTTCTAAACTACTGCAACGTGTTAATAGTCTATCTATCTTTCTGTTTAAGCCTATAAATCACTCTCTCAACTGGCCACTTCTGATCTATTGCAACTTGTTTATCTATCTATCTATCTATCTATCTATCTGTTTCACTCTAATCTATCTATCTATCTATCTATCTATCTATCTGTTTCAGTCTATAAATCTCTCTCTCTCTCTCTCTCTCAATGGGCCACTTCTAAACTACTGCAAATTGTTATCTATCTATCTATCTATCTATCTATCTATCTATCCATCTCACTTCAGTCTATAACTAATGTATCAATGGGCCAATCCAAAAATGCAACTTGTTATCTATGTTATCTATCTATCTATCTATCTATTGTAATCCTTGGTAACTTAAACCGAATCCCATGTATTTCTGGTTAACAACGATAAAATTTCATTTTTTCCTCTTTGTTGGACACAGTGGGCATCTATGGTTGTAAATTACTAATACTAATAATAAATTTTAATCCCAGTATATTTCGCCATTCGATATGATTTCAGACATGTCCTGGTTTACAGAAACGTTGAAATATGTGTCCTTCCGTTAATTTTGTATACAAATTACATACAGAGAAGTGGCTCAAATGAAGCCTGAGAATTCTGGTTGACAGGATAGGTAAGAAAAGAGGAATTCCGTTAATTTTAAAAATATCATTAAAACATTTGTATGCACTTCTAGTGAAAGAAGCATTCAAAATACTGAGGAAGTTGCTGAGAAACGGTGAAATTTCGTTAGAAACAATGAAACAAATGCTGGATTGCTATCTGGTTTCCATTCCCTTATATGGCAGTGAATGTTGGATTATCTCCCCACGGATGAGGAAAATAACTAGAGGCAGCAGACATATGGTTCTGCAGAAGGATACTGAGAATTCCATTGGAGGAGCCAGTAAGCAACAAGGAAGTCTTGAAAATGGCAACACAGAGAACACTTATATTGAAAAACAAGAGAAGAGTGTTAGAATTCCTACATATAACGAGGAAGGAGAGCTTAGAAAACTTAACACTCACAGGGCAAGTTATTCGCCTAGGTTAGAACGCCCAGTTTACCTTGCTCTCTAAAGTGGATTATTTTCAGTGGTATGAGTGCGGAAGTGAATTAAACTGACTTGGCTAGTATTTGAAACTCGCCCGCTTATTCCACTTTCCGCTCAGAATCCAGAAAAGCCAGCTGATGGATACGGCACAATAATGTTTAAAATTTCCTTTTGGGGTTGTTAATTTTCAACATGTCCAACATCATTACTTATGCAAAAGATGCTGTTCAGCAAGAGGAAAATCCTAATATGCATGTAACGAATTGGAGATATGAACATGGAGCAGATGCAGATGTTCAAATATTATTGGGAAACATTTCAACAGAGGATGGAAAATGTGACACTGAGATCCGAGTTAAGCAACCTGCTGAAAAACGGACAAGTGCTGGATGGCTATACGATATCCATCCTCTTACATGGCAGTAAATGTTAGAAAATATTCCCACGGATGAGGAGAAAAAAATGAGGACATACAGAAATGTGGCTCTATAGAAGCATACTGAGAATTCCATGGATGGCGCGAGTAAGTTAAGAGGAAACCTTAAAGAAAATGGCACCAGAATGAAAACTTATAATCAGCAAAAGACAGCTAAAATTCAATGGACGCATAACGAGGAAGTAGGATTTGGGAAACAAACTAAACACTCACGGGGCATAGAAAATAGAGAGAAAATAGACAAAGGGAGCGATCTACTTGTTTGACGAGCTTGTGTGAAGAGATGACGTAATGGCGGGTCCATTAGCAAATGGCGGAAAACGGTTCAGAGCCACACGAGTTCGGAAGTCGCACTTATGTTCTGAAGGGATATAGAAGGTCCCACATTTGGGCTTGTTAGGCATACAGAAATGTGATTCCACAGAAGGATGATGAGGATACTATGGACGGAATATTTCGTTAGAAACAAGGAAAAGAGTATAAAACTGTTAAGTGATAGTTGTCCTCCTGTATGGCGGTGAGTACTGGACATTGTCCTCAAAGATGAAGAAGTGACTTGAAGCAACCGAAATGTGGTTCTACTGAAGGATGCTGAGGATACCGTGGACTGAACATGTGAATAACGGCGATGTTTTGGAGAAAAATGATAACAAAAAGACAACTTATACTTAACATCATGAAGAAGCAATTGAAATTTCTGCGGCACATAATGAGGAAGGAAGGCTAGGAAAATCTGATACACACAGAGCAGATTGAGACAGAAGAAAGCAGCGCGTAACATACTTTATGGGCTTGAGTAAATGGATGGCAGAACAGGGTTTGGGAGAAATAACAAAAAGACATTTTATTTGTGAACTACAAGGGACTGGAAGAGGTGGAGAGCCATAATAGCCACCGTCCTGAAGGGACACGGCATATAAAAGAAGAAGAGGAAGAAGGTATTAACGGGTTATTATTAGAACCCAATAAGTCCGGGCATTTATAAAATCTTTAAGACAGGATTTTTACCAACACTATAATTAATGAAAGATTTTGTTTTGGCAACCTATGATTAATCCTGTAATTCTATGGTATTTTTTTTAAAAAAATTTAATAAATAATTCTTTCTTTTTATCATTATTTTTATATCATTCTGACATCGTGGTTAAACCTAGATTAATACTAGATTATATTGAATATAAATAATGAGGTTTTAATAGGTTTTGCAAAACTAAAGTGTCTGCAAAAAAGACTGTGTGTCAAAGGGACGGTTATTATTTTGATACTCTTGTTACTGTATACACTTTTGACTCCCGCCGAAAATGATATAAATTTGTGGACTAAATATAATGCTAAACTTATTATCTAACTTTTTGTACGGATTTATTATTTATCATTTTTATAAAGAAATACGTATTATAATTTGACATTTTTACAATGAAGCAAGATTTAAAATTTAACATTTTTTATAAAGAAATAAGATTTATAAGTTGACATTTTTAAAATGAAGTAAGATTTATAATTTAATATTTTTATAAAGAAATGAGTTTTATAATTTAACATTTTTACAAAGAATTAAGATTTATAATTCAACATTTTTATAATGAAGTAAAAGTCATAATTTAACATTTTAGTAATAAATTTGAAAAGAAATATTTTTATTCAAAAAGTATAAAAACTTACGAAATTATCAAAATAGAAACCAATGACAATGCTATATATATTATTTAAAATTTTATAAATAACTATGAAAATTAAATATTTATTCATAATTTTATAAATTTACCAATGAAATATAACACAAGAAATTTTGAATAAACATATATTATCAGTGTTGCTTTTTAAAACAATAAATATTACCAAGGACTTTCAAACGTGTATAAATTAATAGCCGTGTCAAGGAAATAACCTTCTTTTTGACATAGTTTTTTTTCGGTCACGATGGTAAAATATTGACATTTTTTTGTTCAACATTCCACCCAGCCAAGCAAAGCGATAATGTCACTAAGACGCAAGGGTTTCCAGAGGAAAAAGAGCAATACAAAGCATGGATTCAAGCAAACAAAAGATGGCGATTGACATTGCATTACTATTTTTGAAGGTCGTTTCTTTATTTTTCTTTGTTCGTCACTGATATTCAAAAGTGTATTGGAATAACGAAACATGCCTTCCAAAAGCTAAGCAAAATATTAAGAAACAAAAAAAAATTCGTTTGAAACAAAGAAAAGTGTACTGAACTGTTATGTAATATCGGTCTTCCTATATGCCAGTAAATGCTGGACAATCTCCTCACTGATGAAGAAGAGACTTGAAACAATAGAAATATGGATCTACAGAAGGATATTGAGAATACCCTGAACCAAACATGACAAAGTTTTCGAGAAATTGAAAACAGAACGGAGCCTTATAATTGACATGAGGAAGAAACACTTAAAATTTCTAGGGCACATAATGAGGATAGAGGGCTTGGAAAATTTAAAACTCACAGCAGAAGTGGAACAGAGAAAAACAACTCATAACCTTCCTACCTGAGTAAATGAATGGGAAAACGGGGTTTAGGAGAGATAGCAAAAAGCCAACATATATTAAGCGCTCGAAATAAGAAATTGTAGCGGGCCATGATCGCCAACGTCTTGATGGAACACGGCACATAGAAATTAACAAACATCATCACTTAACTATGTTTATATAAATTATAGAACTGTAAGGTAGGTTGTATTCGGGCATTAAGAATATATCGACTTTTTTGTAACATTTAGTTAGACTGTCTTCTCTAGCACTTAGCCACAATTTATTATAGAAGTATAACTGAAAACCTTGAAAAGGGTAAGAATCTGGTATCAAGCATTTGTACAATCAGGGAGTGTGGTAACAGAGAACGGAGAGTGTGATCCCGACATCCGAAGATGCGTTGGGATAGCCAAGGACACATAGAAGAAGAAGAACATTATTTTTTATCGTGTTTTTCAGAAAAGATGCCGACCAGTCCAAATGCCAGATTTTGTCTGTTCCTTGATAAGTTTGACAATTGCCGAGTACAATTCACCGTTGAACGCAGTCCCGGTGGCAAACTCAAAGTTACAGCACTAACAATAAAAGGTAGACCTCTTTCAACTCTTTTTTTGACAAAAAAAATTGGTGTACAATTCACTTATTCAGTTAAAAAATTAAAATAGTTATGAAGTTTATTCAATTCAATTGGTGTACAATTCGCCATTGAACGCAGCCTGGAAGGGAAACTCAAAGTTAACGGCATTAACAGAGAAAGGTAGACATCTTTCAACTCATTTTGTTTTTCCTTTTACCATTCTCGGAAATAACAAATATCGATTGTGACGAAAAAAAAAATAACTTCTCGCGAGATCTCGTTTTCGCTGACACTGAGATTTTGAAACTAATATAATGGAAACAAATCTCGGTAATTGTAAACATTCTTTTATTGCTATAAACGTTATATCTCGTGGATACTCGTGTTTAAGTAGTTATCGGTGTTCTTTTTCAAGCAGCAAAATTATTGTCTAACGGCCTACAGATTGAAAATCTTACTAACGAAAATCTGCCTCCCAATAGGAATCAAACCTGTCATAGCCAATATAGTTGATTGATTTTGTTTAGCGGCATATTAACACCTCTATGGGTTATGTAATGCCGAAATTAAAATATTTTGAACTCGATTTCATGCCTTCAACTACAAATATTTTGTATATAAGTTTATATTTTCAGAATAAATATATATATATATATATATATATATATATATATATATATATATGATCGAAATAAAAGTATGAACCTTAATATTACGAGACATATTAAAAAATGGGTTTTAATATGTCTCGTAATATTAAGTTTTATACTTTTATTTCGATCATTAAATTTTATATATATAAAATATATATATATATATATATATATATTATTATATTAGGCGGCATATATTGTAAAAAAAAAAAGAATTCGTGGATTTACCATATTACAAAATTCATATAAAGATTCTCATTTGAAATATTGAACTGTAGCGTTGCGACTCACACGTTCTGAGATTGTACAACCGTCAATAAATAGCACATTCTTAAAAAAACAACTTTCGATCTACAAACAATTATTTCGTCTTCAATTTTTAAATTTAAAGGAAAAAATTACAGCCTGTGGATGAAGACATAGATCTTCGAAAGTACTTGTTTAACTTAAAAAAATATACACTAGAAACATTTGACAACAGTTTCATAAATGTGGATCACATCATTCAATGGATTAACAGTATTTTAATGCATAAATTATGTTCTACTAGCGAAGTGATTTCACCATTAATCGCATTAATATTGCGCATTGATTCTATGTATGATTATTTCTTCATATATATATATATATATATATATATATATATATAGATAGATAGATACACATCACGGAAAAACTGGACTCGTCATCGAAAACACTGTTATAAATTATTATTTATTTCAACGAGTAAGTTTTTAACACCTGTCTTATCAGACCGAAATTATAAACAGTTTAATTTTAAATTTATCCAGAATATTTTTTGAAAAAACAAGATAACAGGAAATCTAGACGCTTGACCTAGAAAATCTATTTTCTGGAGATTTATTATATTGAAGACATATGTGGGGGAGGAGGGATTGTTAGCTTTCAGCCTGATTTTCATGTCTGTTGGCTGGATTATCTTTTCCTCCTTACGGATTTGATATCATTATCTATATATATATATATATATATATATAGGTTGTAGATAATATGTATTGTTGGTAATTGTTTTTAAAAGAATTGCAGGTAATTTCACTACAAAAATGTATTGTTAGTAATTTTATTATAAAAATGTACTGTTTATTTGTTTTTTTTGCGGAGTTTTATTTACCCAAAGCTGGACTCCGCTACAACGCCCATTATCATCATCATAACTCCAATGTGGATATAGGGTTGCTGCGAAACTGATCAGCTAACCATTTTCCTCCACATATTTGGGTTGAAATTCCGAAGAAGTATCCATTCACGTGTAGCGGGGTCTATCCATTTCCATTATAAAACCATAGCCGATGTCATGAAGGCTCAATTTGTTTACGGACATGTGGCCATTGAATAATCGGAGGAAAACTCTCCGCCCTGGATGTTGAATATCCTCCCGGAAATCCCTCAACTTAGCGATGTCGTGATATCAATAGACTGACTGCAGACGTAGCTATGGTGCCTAGTTTATCCCATTGTCCGAGAAGTCCTTTATCCAACCAATATTCACTCTTTTTTTCCTGGGAAATAACTTACAAGCTATGTATGTCTTAATAATTAGCTACAGGAAGCCATCACAAAAAATAACGCTATTTACCAAATGCACACTATCTCTTATATCTGAAATTTTTATTTTCGTACGTGAAACGTAATTAAAAAATAAATGTTATATAATTGGTACAAATGTTTAAGTCAACATCGTTGTCATTTTTAAACAGTGACAATAATGTCTACCTATCTAGAGATCGGAATCCAGATAGTAACTAAATCTACCATCCCTTTCTAATCTGGGAAACCATTTTCAAGTTAAATTTGCGGTATACTTATGAACTTTTTTTTAAACACATTTCACCCCAATCAGGTCAATAAATCCTTAAGATGCCAAGGGTTAAAAGTACTGAAATTTAGAAGTCAAAAATTAACCATTAACATTACATTTAAATTTTTCAGGATCAAAGTTAACTGGAAAACAAGAAACCGGAAGAGAGTTCCACAAGTGAGAAGTGTTTGATAAGAAACTGTTAGCATCGGACTTATGGTTACATCTAGTCATTTCAATTGAAGAGATTTTGTCGAGACTTTGCCACACAATCTAATACAATTCATAAAGTCTTGATGCCATAGTGGAAAGTTCATTAGAATAATTATGGTGAAAGTATTTATAGAAAAGGCTCAGGAAATTTACGTTACGACGGCGAGAAAGTGACTGAAACCGAGATGCCAGGTTAAATCAAATAATATTGTAGATTCTTATTTAGATTTTTCAAGAATCTCTAAATATATAGCAGAAGCACCAGACAATATGTGACAACACTGCTCAATGCTTGAACAAAAGCCAGACTTGTAGAACTTGGTTGTTTATCTTTATAAATAGAATTAATATTATTGAATTAGATATAATCACATTCAATACTTATTGAATAATAAAAACATAAATTATTGTATCGTTTTTTTTAATAAAAATACCGTTTTTTATTGTTTTTAGCTAAGTGTCTAGTCAGAGGCTATACAACTGTTTAGCTTTGAGAATCGTCTGGATAATTTGACTAATTCATTGGCATGGGAGAGGGCGGCGTGTTTGTCAAATTGTCGCAGCAAAGCGTTTATTAGCATGCCATAAGCACCGGCGTCGTCATTGGTAATGTTCCGGTTGGGTAGTTTAAGCAAATTCAGATGTCGAGGTAGCGTTGGGCGTCGCTTGCTATGCCACTCGCTGAGTAGTGGCTCTCGATCGTCTTTACAAGATGGGGTATACGTTCAGAGCCTAGGCCTTGATTTTTTTCACTCTGAAACTTCGCCTTCATATGAACTGCAGCTTCTATGATCGTGGTCTCGAGCCGGCCTGCAAAATCGGTAATCTTTTCTCCGTTACGTCTTTGCAGGTCCCACTCTCGGCTGAGGTGCTGAAAGCTTGTCATTTTACTGTCTTGGGTTCTTAGCATATAGGCCTTCAACTGCTCGTATGAGGACGTAGTCTGTTGCGAACTCTCCATCTGTTGGAATATGCCCTCGTCGAGAAGTTGCTTAGCGATTTTAATAAATTCGGTTTCCAACCTCGGATAATGTGCGAGCTGGGTTGTTGCGCGGATTGTGTATACCTTGTTCAAATCGGTTATGAACCGATTGACGTCGTTACCCGGATGGAAACGTTTTACATCCCACATAACGTCACATAAAGATTTTAGTCGCATGAGCTGTTCGTAGTCTGTTGGGGTCTACGACGTGTGCACGATCCCGACGGCGGCAGAGTTGAGAGTCGTCAGCATTTCCTGTTGTTCTGTTTGAAGTCCGCCAGCAATTCTGACTTGATGTTCGCTGGTGGATTTCGGGTCTGTTTTCATTTTGAGAATGGTTGCTCGTTACTCTTTGATTAGTTCTAGCATTACATGTCGAGTAAGAGTGTTGTAGTCCATCTTCTGGCTCCGGTCTCACCCTCCTTACACCAGTTGTTATATTAAGCGTATGGTGGCAGAACAAATAAGAAACAACGAAGGGTTCAAGAAATAAACAATTGTATTAACTTAAATTAAAACAAATAATAAATCAGTTCAAATATTTCTCGTTGAAAAAAGATGTGGAATTGTAAAAGGTGTCCGCAGAAATGTGCGGTAGGTAGGGAGGGTGATTTATGCGTTAGTGCGGCGACGGCCATTGGTAAGTTGTCATTTGAAGATGGGAGGCCGTCTTTCGACGAGCGAGTTTGATCCGGGCCAAAATGCTGTCTGACTGCCGAAAATGTCGTTCCGATTTTTAAAATGTATTTTTAAGCTCAGATCCGCTGCAGTTATTATTTTGTTTCTTTAGGCGGGTGTAGGTGCTATTGGGCGAAGATTCTGGATTGCATTGCTTTTTTTTTTTTTTTGTGAGGCGGTGAGTAAAACGGAAGTTATGTGTGGAGTCTATGCGCAGTTGATGGAATTTTAGTTCACTCTTGTGTTTCGGAAAGTTCACATCCGGCCAGTTGTAGAAATTAGTGTAGCATGAATCAGAACATCTTGTTTTAGAAAGAATGTAACAATGTTTTTTTTTTTTTTTTTTTTTACTTTAAAAGGATTGCTTTGTGGAGCGAAATCGGAAATAAACACCAAGACAGTGATTCATTAAATGCCTAAAACTGGTTTCGGAGGATCTGCCCATCCCTCTGATTATTAATAATTTGAAAATAAATGTTTAATTTTTTTAAACAATAGGATGCATTCCCGCCGAAAATGAAATAAAATGCTTCGAGATCTCTTTGAAAAGTATTTAAGCAAAGCTTCTACATCAGAGAAGCCAGTAAGGAGTAAGGAACGGCAACAGTGCCCGACGCGGCTTCATAAAGATCCCCTTATTCATTTACAGTCTTCCTCACAAAGTGACTTAAAATTCCCCCGTCTTCCTTACTAAACTACGTGACACTTTCGCTGTTGCCTCTTTTTTCTCACACGTACACAAGAAGAAATCACATTTATTTTCATCTTTACAAATAACTACAAACACTCGTACACGCTACGAAAAATATTCATTGTAAAGATAAAAGAATAAAACTACAGTGCTGAAAAGTAATTCGGGCGGGACTCCTTCCCAAAACCAGTACTCTGGCGTTTCTTCATTAGAATATTTATTTTGGGGGATTTGGCCGAACTTTTCAGCACAATTTTTTATACCATGAAACATCTATTATAAATGCTAATAATATATTCTTAACATTTTTCTATATTTCAGAGTGTCCTTCCATTTAGACGATCCGTGAGAGTTTTATAAAAATTGCTTAAGAAATCATAATTTCATTTTTACTTGCCCAAATCATTCAGCTGATATTGTATGACGCCAGACACTGTAAAAGGCAAGTTATTTCAAAGGAAAAAAATAGGAAAAAGGAAAGAAAAAAAATGTTTTATTTGTTTTGAAATATCCGTCATGATCTGCTCATTAGTCAATAAAATTTTCCCATCCCAAATCTTATCTAACCAATCAAACACAAGATTTCTCAGTTTAAATTTGATTAGTGTTTATTTTTCCATTTCCCCAATCCACTATCAGCCAATGAAAACGTTGTATTCAATACGGATATAAAACAAGCTCGAACAGATCTATAATGACATACATATCTACAACATATATATGTAATCCCCACAATTTAATTTCAATAAAGTTTTGAGAAAATTTGTCGTTAGTTTTATAATTCACTGTTTATTTTTGTTTCATTAATGATTAAATTCATAAATACAGAAAAAAACATTAGAAACAATGAAAAGATTATTGAACGGTTATGTGATATCAGTCCTCCTATATGGCAGTGAATGCTGGGTAATGTTCTCATAGATGAAGAAGGGATTTGAAGGGATTTGTGAATATGCAATGAAGATGAGGATAACAGTCCGAGTAATGTAAATAATGCAAGTAATCATAATACCTCATCTCAGAGATATAGAGGCTGAAACGTTGTGAAAATGACAATGACGATGAGGATGACGGCCCGATTAATGTAAATAAAATAGTGTAACCCGGATATAAAAGAGTTGTCGGGATCGGAGAAGAAGTCTCTTATATCCGAGTTTCTCTTATATCCGGGTTTGGTCTATTTTGTTTAGGTAAGTATGGGAACACTTTGGGACCAGAGAAAAATTCTCTTATATCCGGGTCTCTTATATCCGGGTTACACTGTAATAATAAAAGAAAAGAGTACTGACCTGTTATGTAATATCAGTCCTCCTGCGGGCAGGGAATACTGGGCATTCTCCTCACCGACGAAGAAGCGATTTTAAACAATAAAATATGGTTCTAAAATTGATACTGAGGATACCATGGATCGAACATATGAACAACAACAATATGGCGAACGGGAAAATTATTTATCCTAAAATATGAGTTTGTGTCCTGGGTAATGTTTGCCGATAAAAAGAAAAAAAAACTTGAAAATTATTGACTCAATTATAATAATCTGCCCCGACTATATCCATCAATCGAAACTTTCCCATCCTCAATAAAATCTGTTGCTTTTCTTGACGAGGAGTATTTTTGGGTTCATAAGCGAAAGTGGGTTCGCTGTGTTAGGATTTTTTACCCCTATTATATTTTGCCTCTTGTATTTGTGTATTTCTCAACTACTCGTCTTCCATTGCCTTTTGAATTTGTGAGGCTAGGTTTGAAATTTTTCATCGCCATTGTTGTTTGCAATGAAGATGAGGATAACGGTCCGAGTAATATAAATAATGCAAGTAATCGTAATACCTCATCTCGGAGATATAGAGGCCGAAACGTTGTGTATGTGGCAATGAAGATGAGGATAACGGCCCGAGTACTCTAAATAATGTAAGCAATCATAATACCTTATCTCAGAGATATAGAGTCCGAAACGTTGTGAATATAGCAGTGAAAATGAGGATAATAGTCCGAGTGTTGTAAATAATGCAAGTAATCATAATACCTCATCTCGGTGATATATTGGCCGAAACGTTGTGTATATGGCAATGAAGATGAGGATAACGGTCCGAGTACTCTAAATAATGTAAGTAATCATAATACCTCATCTCAGAGATACAGAGGCCGAAACGTTGTGAATATGGCAGTGAAAATGGGGATAACAGACCGACTGCTGTAAATAATGCTAGTAATCATAACAGCTCATCTCAGAAATATAGACAGATAATACTTAGAGATCTTATTATAAGTAAAAAAAAAATCAATACTGAAAGGCAGACAGTAGAATAAAGGGAAAGAGAAATGAATACAAAAGTAAAATGTGCAGCTACGATAAATTGCAAAAGAAAATGAAAAATTATACAATCCACAAACTGGTTTCCATTCCTCTCTCAAAAGAGCTCGGTCGAGCCCAATGAAATAGTTTACGTGCTGATTATAAAAGCACATGTGCGAGCAATTTAATCATTTCAACTCTCGCGAGGCGATGAAGCCACTAAAAATATCCTATTATGCTTGTAACTGTTACACCCTGCCAATGCCTAATAAATAATTGACTATTCCGGTTTGATCATGAGGAAAAACAAGACATGTATGCGGCGTTACTTGGTTTCATATAGAGGTGTTTAACGTCTTCTGTTAATAAGGCATGAATAAAATACTATAACATTTTGATCGCATGAAAGAAAAAAAAAAAACAGGCATCAAACACGGTACTTGATTTCAGTGAGAAAATGAAAGAAAGAAAGCGTTTCAGTAAAATTTAAGAAGTTTTCGATTTAAAATCTTTTCATTTGTACCCCCTTACTTCTTAAAATAACGACCAGCATTCGTAGTTATGATTGTTAATGTAATATTTTATTAAAATTATTAAATTCAAATCTTTAACGATGCAATAATGGATTTTTTACGGATATTTTATTTAAGAACTCTCCATAAGATTATTCAGTCAGTAGCTGAAGAATTAAGATTCATCAGAAATTTCAAGTAGAAAAATCGTAAAATTTTAACTGGTTAAAACTAGTTAACTAGCATATCACATTAGACGCATCCATGTATTTTAAATAAATGTTTTTTTTTTTAAACCTTTTTGATTGTTAGCGTCTCGTAAAGCTGGGAGAACGCTTACAAACGTTGTTCCTTCATTATTTAAAAAAACTTCTTAAATTATTATCTAAATTATTGTCGCTGCGGATTGAAAGATTTTGCGAAGAAAACCCAATTTTAGTGATTGCCTGCATCTATTTTTATAAGATATCAGTGTCCAAAAATATTTGCTAAATATATACAAAATGTACGTCTTCTGTTCATATTAATGTTCATGAGTTGTGGACAAATAATATTCAAAGCCAGCATCAATGATACGTAGACATTTGGCCAACGGACATTTTACCGAATGGACATTTAGCCAAAAATGTAATGGCGGACTTATATGTCACAGTCTTTGTCGTAATGTGCTACATATAATTATATTTATTTACTGTATTAATTTATAATTTTCCTTTTTTTTTTTTACAGGATTTTTAAAAAATATATTCTGTATATATTATATTTTACTTCAAGTTGATAAGTATTTATTTATTACAGCAAAAATCTTATGATTTTACGATATGAAATATCTTTCAATTTGGTTTTTATTGACCATTATCTTAAAGGGATGAACTAGCTTTTACTGTTAAATACGAATTTAAATAATTAGGTGGTAATTAGTAGTCCTATTCTACTTTATAATACTGCAATTAAAATACTTAAAGTATTACTAGTTACTATTTTTATTTGTACATTTTCAGCCAAATGTCCGGCCAAGGCATCAATTTAGGGAAAAAAACGTCCCTATAGATTTCTTAATATTACAAAAAGAATTGGAAAACTTGATAACTGCTTTTCATGTGGAAAACGGGTATTTCCATCCGCATATTCGAGGTTGATGTTTTTTAAGGAATAATAATTAACTCAATGTTTATTAATCCTAGAACACTAACCATGGGTTTATAGTACCCAGCGCAATTTTTTCTATTTTTAATTACAATTTTCAGTACCTGATTTTCTTACCTAAATAATATGTTTTTTAGTTCCTATTAATGATAACTACAAAGTTTGAAGTGCCTGCATGTAAAATATTTCAAATAAAGATTTATAGTTAATTTTTTTTTTTTTTTATATTTTCAAAATCGGGTATGATATACCCATGGTTAGTAGTGGTGTAAATTTAATTGAGGGTTAGTATTCTAGGGTTAAGATGAAAAAAAAATAATCATATACAGAGTGTAACATTAAAAATGTCAAAATCATGTAACACACAAGACAAATATTTCATTAAGTGAAAGTAATTTGAAGAAGAATTAATGTTTGTCTGCATGAAAAAATGCGAAATCTGAGATGAATTCTCAGGTTAAAAAGACACCAAACTCTACTTTGTTGTAATTTACACACTAGGTATTTACTCTGTCTCCCCACTAAAACGAGTTGTGACACAAGGTCAGTTTTTACGGTGTAGTCCCGAGTGCGTACACCCGGGCTAGGAACAAAAAATGTCCGCAACTCCCACAACCGTCGGTTGCGCTGGCCTCGGTGCGAGCACCAATCCCTCGCGCAAGTAGGGAATGAGATGGCACGGCCTCGGGTAGATGTTCCAAAGGGCCGGCCACCTCTGTGTTATTTTTCCTCAGTTGCGACTTTTCCTTTAACGGAGCCGCCTCTGAACACACTCTGCCCAAAGACAGAGAGGCAACTGAGAGATGACAATAAACATGTTAGCGATTTATATTTATTGTGCAAGATGTACAAATGTGGCACAAGGCCGAAAAAGGTGAAAATGATGGTCTTCTTCCGTCTTAATGTTCACTATTTATAAAATGTTGAAAGGGTTCTTCAAAGAATATGACTGTAAAGACAGACGAAATAAATTAATCGGGTGTGCGGCAGGCTTGTTATAGTTAAAGAAAGTTTTACAAATAGATGTCAATTTGTTGAAGGCCAAGTAAAATGCTAATTTGGAACACTTTTCTGTACTATATAAGAATATTTCTCAACATAACTATTTTTTATATGAAACTCAAAGCATTCGTCGAATAAAAGAATAGTAATGAAGAACAGTTAATTAATGTAATATACTTTTGTAAAAAAAATATGCAAATTAGTAAAACCTGAAAAGGGATATTGCCTGGAAGTCGATAATATATAATACAGATATTACGCTTCTAAATCGCTAACACGTTTTATTTTTTGTCCCTATTTTTTTCTCAAGTCTTGAGCGACGGTTCGGTTCAACTCTCTGTCTACAGAGGGAGAGGAACCCGAAGGAGGCTACGCCGAAGGG